CTAAAAGCTTATTTAATAAGTTCATACATCTATCTCATGATGATATTTGCACCATGCCTTGGCATGGAAAATCATTACTATGTTCGTGATGATAATGACGATGATTAAGACGGATAGAAACTCGAGCCTAGCTCAGGCCAAATGATGTTCAAGGACTATATATTTTTATCTTCTAACCAAGGTGGCCCAAATAAAGATTTTTAAATACCACGAGGCAATTACCATTATATAAATGTGTCCCAGTACAAAATCACGTGGGGAAAGGGCAATAACAGCAGCAAAGGCAAGAAGTTCAAATATCACTTCAGAGGCTTCACACATCATGGAAAGTTCTGAGACCATCACCGCCAGGAGACCACTACAGATACGCTGGCGGGAAGGATGCAGATGCAGAGGAACATCTTATAACCAGTACCTTTCTAGAAGTTTTGCATGGGAGGGTGCCCCGGCTGAAGCAAAATCTAATAATCTTTTCCAAACATTCAACCAGACAAGCAAGGTGAGAGGAAACTGTGGCATTGTCCAAGAATTCTGGCCTCGAGGGTTACCCAGAACCTCTCTTAAATTTGAATTCCCTGTTTGCACCAGTATGCTGATTAGAGGTTCATTGATGTGCAGGGGTGGGAAGGGGTCTAGGAGGAGGGAGCATGGCTGACTGTCCTGTGGCTGCGGAGACTGGGCAGTGGCTCTACAATGGGAAGGCTATTCTCTGTCATTCCTTTAGCTTCATTTGTTGGTCATGAAAGCAACAAAAGACTGTGGCAACTGAAGGTCTCAAATTTTCATCCAGGGTGGGAAGAAAGGAAGAGTGAAAACACCAGCAATGGCTTTTCTTCTCTCAGGAAAGCAAAGGTCTCCGAGAAGCCTGCCATAGATCCCTGCTTCTATCTGTCAGCTAGGACCTGCCAAGTGGCCTCTGCTGCCAGGAGTGCTGTGAAGCGCCATCGTGTCTGGCATTTACAGTGGGTAGGCAAGGCCCCTGAGCTCGCTGGACAGTCAGAGTGGAGCCACGCAACCCCACGAGGCTGGGGTAGTAGAGGCAGAAAGCATGACTAGTTATCTCCGGCTACTTACCAAGTAGAATACATGAGAAACTTAGGCCAAAAAATAAAAATTAAAAAAAAAAAAGGCACTGATTGTCCATAGGGATTTCAAACAAAAACCAGAACTTCAGCCAAGGAAAAGATTTCCTGTGCCCTACTTCTTCCTGGGCACACAGCTGGTCTGCACTTCCTAGTCTCTTGCAACTCACAGATGTGTCATACTTAGGCCTGGTCCTTACAGTGTCCCCATGGCATCACCTCATGTTTCTTGCCTCTTCCAGCAGCTTCATGCCAACAAGCCAGGCAGCTGTGGCAGCCAGGTGTGGAAGAAGGTAGAGCACGAGATGGAAGGAGCCTGGGTCCCTGAATCACCCTTGGGAGAGAGCTGCCTTGAGTCCAGAACAATAACTTTGGACCTTTCGTAGCAAGAAATAAACTCTGGCCATGGTGGAGCCATGGTACACAGTGGGCTGATTTGTTAGAGCAGTTAGTGCTTCCTTTACTAACTCATCCACCTACAAAAGGCATCTCAGATTCCCTGAGAATCCCATTTACCTGGTCCCTAATCCCACTTCCCACATGTTGGTGTTTAGCTCTGCTGAGCAAGCAATGGATAGAGGATCTCAGGTGCCATCGGCATCAGCCCACCGGGCTCAGTGGCTCACTCCTCTGGGAGCACATCTTCTTAAAGAAACCAGGCCTGATGACACCTGGCATAAGCCTAGTCAAGGATTCTCCCTTTTATCTGTGAGGAAGAGACAAATCTTGGCAGCCTGTTGTGCTTTTAAAGTGGTTTTTCACGTCTCTTAACTAGACCTGTTATCAGAGAGCCTTTTTGCACTCTCTGTGGGGTGCTTCCAAGCAAGGCCTGGCCGTCATCACACTGCACTGGGGATGCACACCCTGTTTTGCACCATTCTTGTTTGACTTAGGTCCTGTTCCAAGTGCTACTGGAGGAGACGCAGCGTAGCAGGAGAGTCCGGTCTTTGTAAGTTGCAATGAGCTGTGATTTCCTTGTTCTCCTGGTTTTTAGACGGAAAACAAACTGCATAAGGGAAATGTCTTTATAGTACCAGTCCTTAAATATTTTACAGGCAGAGCTCTTGGTGGGTGGTTTGGAGGCTCAATTACCCTGCTCAGGAGAGGGAGTAAATATCCCTGAGGGTTTACATAACAAACCCACGGTGACTCTGCACCACTTAAAACCCGCGGTATTTACATCTGCCTCTGAAACCTCTGGCTCGATGGCATTTGAGCATTCGAAAAAAAGAATATGGCCAGTAGGATCGCACAGGTATAAAAGCAAAATCATGCTATCCATCTGTCACCTACTGAGAGACATGATAAAGACAGCCAGGTCCTATCATGCGGAACTATTAGGTAGAAGATACCACAGTATTCAAAGTTTTGCTCTTGAATGCTCTTGAAAGGTGACAAGTAACAAGGGGACCCTATCCAAAGGTATCTACTAGAATGAGCAAGAGCAGGTCTGTTGCCATGCAGAATTAGGTGGAGAGTGTTGTTCCAATCAGAACACAGATTGTTACTGCCCTCTGTTGTACCTCATCTGATCAGACCACAACTCTCTGAAGTAAATAGTACCATCCTCACTTCACAGATGAGGAATCTGAGGCCCAGATAGTTGGGTAACCCATCATAGGTCAATGAGCCACTTGGCAGAGAGAAGACATAGCACTGTACCCAGGTCTGCCTTACCCCGCTTACCATGGTGCCTCCTCTTAACTACTGGGCTATAGAAGGAGAGGCTTAAAGTCTCTTCCAAGAGGCTGAGAATATGCCACGAGATGGTCCCTGGAGGAACTGCATTCCAAGGGTTGGGTGTAAGCAAGAGGAAGGATCCAGAGATCCAGTTTGGACTCCACTGGGCGGAGGGCACCACTGCACCCCATAGCTAAAGTGACACCGGGACGTGGAACCAATGGAACCAGCAGTCAGATCAGGAGCCCACTGGAAGTCAAAGTCGAGCGTCTGGTTCCCCAGTGGAGCTTAAAAGACAAAATTAAAAGGCAACCCAGAAAAGCCATCCAAAGCTTGAAGAGCAGATTAGCCTCTAGACAAGGGAGGCTGAACAGAGAACAGGCAGAAGGCCAGGAAGGAGGGAGCAACCTGGGCACCCGGGAGCCAGGGACTGCCCCCGAGGGAGGTGACTTAACTGGAGGCTCAGGGAACAGGAGGGAGAGATTCTGAGTTAAGCAGAAAGGAAAGCACCTCAGTAACCCCCCTCCCACCCCCACCACACACCACTGTCAATTTCTAGACAGGTGTTTACAGAGAGAAAAAACGAAAATGAAGTCAAATAGGCAGACAGGAGCCAGACTGGTTGACATCATGGGGTTGCAGTCATTTTATATTCAAAAAGACACGCACCTTGAATATTCCCACTCTGTTCCTAGAGTTGCATGAAGTGCGTTCTAATTTCTAACAAAAGGGGAAGAAAGTTTCAGCACTATAATGTCTATTTCAAGCTTTTATCAGCACTAATTTCAGCCCCCTTTTTCCTTGTAACTCTGAACAGAGAGAAAACAGACATTAATTAAGCAAAGCTTTATCTCTTTCCACTCTAATGAAAGCCACGTTACAGTTATATTTTCCCAAGATTTTTCTCCACTTAATGAAGACATTATCCCCCAGTTTTCAAAGTCATTTTACAAAAGAGCATTCAAGAGACATTAAAGTCAGTTTAAACTAAAAAGTCCTTTTGAAGTCAATAAACAATAAAAGAACAATGAGAAGAGATCCTTTGATCCCGCCTTCGTCCAAAGTCTTTAATTTTCTGTTTTAATCTACGAGATGAAGTCTTGTATTCAAATAGTCCTCACCTCTAGAATGCAGTAAGCTTGAACTGGAAGTATCTTATAATAGTCTCCTGAGAATGTGGGTGTGAGGATATATGTATATATATGTATGCACATGTATGGGTGTATGTGTATAAATATGTATAGACACTTGCATGCATACATGGATATGTGTGTGTGTGTGTGTGAGAGAGAGAGAGAGAGTCCAGATATTCTGGGTATCTGTATATGTATGTGGTGTACACATACATACATGTACAGATACAAGTGTGTATGAATGCATGCATGTGAGTGTGCATATGCAACATGTTATATAAGATGGGACATATGTGTACATATATGTACAGATACACTATGCATGCATATGAGTATGCATGTGTGCATTCTTGTGCATATGTGTGTAGATAGGTCTATGCACATACCTCACATGTGCAGATATATGCATATCTCATTAACATGGATGCAGGTCAGCAGGAAGTCTTCCAGTAGAAAAGGAGAGAGAAAGTTTTAAAATTATTTCTAGTCTTACTTCTTTGAAAATTTTTAAAAAATGAAAGGAAGAAAAAGAAAATAGAATCTTTGGCTTTGAAATTCATGGGAAGATCAAAGACTATAATGCACATAGATTTTTCGAGGTATACATTATTAATAACACAGGCAAACACATCACTAATCAATAGCGTGGTCAAGAGATGATAAGGTAAGCACGTGTCTGTGGCTCTGGGCAGAGCAGCATGAAGGGCGGGGATGGCTCCCTCCCCGAGGTCTCTTTACTTGGGCATTACCCTCCACCCGGCCACTTCCTGAACGGGCTGCCATGGGCAGGAAAGTACCTAGGACTGTTTGGCACAAGGGAAGGGGAAACAATGAGCAGCTTAGCATGTCCCATGTGTCAGAGCACCCCTCCCCACGTGTTAGCTGTTCTGTATTTAGGTGGAATCCACGAAACATAAAAATTAACCACTCTACAGTGCATCCTTCAGTGGCACAGAAAGCTCACCCTGTTGTGTGACTACTGAGTCCGTCCAGTTCCAGAACATTTTCACCTACCCCAAGGAAACTCAGGGCACACTAGCCTGAGTTTTCCCGCTCCCCTCCCCTACGGCCCCCCGCAAACACCCCCTGCACCATATTCCCGGGACTAGCCTGGGCTGGATTTTGTATACAAATGGAATCCAATAATATGTGACATCTTGTGCCTGGTGTCCGAGCTTCTATTAATTTAAAACCAAAAAAGTCCATATGAATGCAACTCCGATTAGAAAGATCAGTTCTTCAGAAAGGAAAAAAAAAATCCACGAAACATAATAAACACTTTAAAAACATACATTGATCACACTGTTAGTGCCCTCTGATGGTGGGTATTATTCACCAGGAAAATGAAGGGAAGAACACTGATTTACACACCAAGGCACGTTTATGTGGGCACTTATTACCATAACAGGGTGTGCAGGTGGAGATGCAAACACGTTCCCATAAACATGTTCAACTATGAGATGGTGGGTCCTTGTGCTTCACCTGGACTGCTCGCCCACTTTAGAAACGAAGTTCTGCAACTCCACTCCTCCTCTTGCCGATTTTCCTTGAGGGTCCAACAGGAGTTGGAATGGAGAGCAGAGCAGAATGGAGACTTGCACAGTCCATGTCTCCAAAGAGGAGAAAGAATGGGGACCCTCACAGAGATGAGAAGCTGGGCCTCTCCAGAAAGGACAGGAGGACAGGGGCAGATCACAAACAAGGGGCGCTCCTGTGTTTACAGATTGAAAGGCAGGACTGACAGACATAGGTCAGAGTTCTGCTGGACTCTGACATGGCCCCCACGGGGTAGTGTGTCATCAGAAGGCGGGGGCCCTGAGGAACTGCATGAAGATTAAATGAGAGGTGGACACAGTCAGCACTAGGGACATGACAGCCATTTGTCACTGTTGCTCCCACCTAGCCACTTTTAGCAAGGACTACAGGAGACACAAGCAGGACTCAGCAGGCTGCGCCCATCTCCTGCCCCCTCCAGTGCCCTCTCCTCTCCCTTCTCCTTCGTAAGTGTCCCACTTATGTCTGTCTCTGTCCCTCTTCCAAATCTTCAGCAGATATGCCACTGGATGTCCTGGGCCACCGTGCTGAGCGATGAGCATTTACACCACGTCTCCCTGTGATGGGACGGATAGGGCCTCTCTCAGGTGGACCCGCTGCCACGATATGGTGCGCTCAGATGAGCTCCCAAACTCTGCAGCAGGCCACCGCTGGTGTGTCGCCCTTCTGGCATCCACACCAACAAGTCGAGATTCCTGTTCCAGGACAGAGAGAGCCCCGTGAGGAGGAAACAGTTCTTCCAGCCTGAGTGACAGTCCCGAGGCCCAACAGTTCACCCTGGAAAACCGGGAAGTGGGACTCACCCTTTAAATCAGACGAACATCTGCCAACGTTATAAAACACTCCTTTAAACCCCTTCCTTGATCATAAACCTTAACTAACCTAACACACAGCACTGGGGCAAAGTAGGCTTGAGAATTACCCATGTAATTCAGGGTGAGACATCAATGACAAAGCTTCATTCAGACAATGATCCTGCAGCCACAGAACTCCAAACCATTAACTGAGAACCTACTACGTGCCAGAATGGTAAGATGCCTCCCTACACATTACCTCCTCTCCCTGTCCTCTCCCAGGCATCCTGGTGACTCTTATCCTCTCAAGACAACATGAATGACAGTCCCATATTCATCAGCACATCTGGTCAATGCTGGATGGCTTCTCCTGTGAGTTTAGAGAGCGATAGGGACTTGGGCGTGGGAATGCCCACTATGCCCACATCTGTGTAACTGTCCGCAGGACACCTTGGCTGTTGAGGGTTGTTCTTCTGCACAGCCTGGTGTTTCATTAAGCATCATCCAGGAACCCTTCAACCGCCTCTTCGCAGGGAGCCACAGTGGACACGCACAGCAAGGGCACCTCCAACCAGGCACGCTGCACTTGAACTATCGCCACACATGCTGAAAAAACGCCATCCCCAGTGTATAATTCCCCCCACACTGTGTATTTATTTTCTTTCATGTTTTCTTTCTGGCACGGCAAGACTGAATCTGTTACTGTGAGCAAAGAGTTGCAGAAGGATATGGATTTGACACAAGGCGGATACCTCACCTTAGCAAAAGCAAATAAAACAAAAGTTCAATGAGCCTCGAAATCAGTGTGCATGAATGTCACCATGCCTGAGAAGAGGAGATCAGAGGACAGTAATGGACACGCAGTCCTCCCGGGGCAGTGGGGTGAGGTTACCTTGGCAAGGTCCTAGGGGCCAGTGTGGGAGACCCAGGAGAACAGCAGGGACCAGGCAAGACCCCGCCCGGGAAGCAGTCAGGCTTTGCACGTCCCTGCCGTCGGGGTGGTTGTCCCCGTGCCTGCTGCTTCCTTCCTCGGAGCTAATCAAGGGAAACATAACTAGTCCAGGCGGCAGGGCGAGTTTACAACAACTGACAGTAACTATAACATACGCCAGTTTGTATTAAGATGTTATTGCACCTTTCCGGTTCTAATCACCAATTATGACTCTATTACTCCTACTTGGCAGTTCATCTGCTCCTTCCTCCGCTAAGGGCGACTTGCAGACGGACCTCTGATCTCCCGGTTCCACTTCAGTGAGCGCTCAGCATGGCGGCTGTCATCTGCAGACACTGAAGAGGTAAGGCATTGCTTTTGCTCAGATAACTGTACCTGACCTTACAACAATTTACTAAGGAAATACCTGCTTAATAGCAGTGTGAGTGCAGGTTTCCTTCATGCTCGCCCCGGCACTGCAAATTAGCGACAACAGGATAAATCTATGGCCTGCTCACTAGACACTTCATTAAATCACTGTTCTCTTGCCTTGTAGCGCGCTAATAGAATCACAGCCCTCGTTAGCTACTGAATAAAAGATCAATCACAGACTTTGAAAGCTCTTGCTACCAGCTTCCAGAGGAAACAAGGAAGAAAAAAATAAAAGGAGAGTGAGCGAGAGAGATATTTAGGATCATCGCTGAGATTCTGAATGGCCTCACTGCAAGTTGCTTAAATTACCTTTTCCACTACTGACTCCAACTGCAATACTCAGAGGAACTTGTTAAGCCTGCTTTCAAGAGCAGCACTCTAATATATGGCTGCGAGACCCTGGTCAAAAGTTCATAATGTGCATATGTAAAAAGGTACTAAATTGCCCGAGGGCTAAAACCAGAGGAGTTTAATTGTAGCAAAATGCTGAAAACGGTCTGTTGAGGGTCCTTCTATTGGGATACTGCTGGCTGTGGCTGATTGAAGTACGGAACATAAAAGTCTTACAACAATATTTCCTTAAATGCCGGGGAAACTGCCAGCAGTTGGTATTGCATGAATGTTGTGGTTAAAGAAAAACATTTTCCTCCCCTAAAATAAATAGAGTATTAAAAACTGCTCCAGCACATAATTCTAAAGCATGACGGAGAAAGGGAGGGTTCCTCGATAATAAATACAGGATAATTCATGGGGCATGTCCAATCGACTCACAGTGTATTTTTACATGGGGCACATTGAAGGTACTGAGGCATGAACTCTGAGGGGTTTTGGACTGTGAGCGGCTGTGATCGTGAAAACAGCTTTGCCCTGAAACAACCGCTGGCCCTGGCTGCTGCGCTGCCATTGGCTTAGATGCACCCGAGTGGGGATCCTTGCGGAGGGCCTATGTGGCTTCCTCCACATCTTCCATGAGATCTGGGGTCCCACCCAGATCCTTACCACACCACTGCTGGTAAGGAAGGGTCTCTGGAACCCAGAGTTCTCTGCTTTCTCCAGCTATGCCCCCCTCTGTGTACAGGCCCTTCCCTGTGTTCGTTCCAGCCTTTACCCCTGGCTCCTTGTTTGGTTACGTGGCCACACAAGAACAGCAGGCATCCAGGAGGGCCTGTGTGCAACATGGCACACCCAGGAGAATCCAGACCTTGGCTGGTGGGCTCTCATGTTAAGAGAAATGTTTGTGAAAGTTAGGGTGAGCCTTCATGGATACTGGAACATGAACCCAGGCATCACTTGATTCTCCCTTTTTTAAAAAAAAAATTCAAACATGGAATTCTGCACCTATGTGATCGCACCAAGCTTCTAGCAATGACTGGATGATTTGATAAGCACCAACAAGGGTGGACGTCCACTACTAAAGCAGAAACTACCTGTGGCAAGGATGGGTAAAAGATCAGCAATACTTGGATTCCCCTTGCCAACCAGAGGCCCTATTTCCCGAGCTTCATCCTCCAAGGAAACTACTTCCAAACTTACAGTGAGAAGCAAGTGATATTCCCTCAGTGATAGAGTATGTTAAAAGCTGAAACAAAGCATCCGTTTAATATTTACCATCAGCAGAATTCCTTAGGGATCCACTCCCAACCATAGATCCAAGCCTTGCTATGCCACCTGGATAAGTCCAGGACCTATCACATCTCACACTTAAGAGGTCAGGTCTACTCTTCAAAAATAAAGACATAGCAGGTCACTGGACACATGTACCATAGGCCACACCGATTTTCTTTCTTACAAACTGCAAACCTGAGTTTCTCAAGAGGATGTCCCTCAAAAGGAGAAAGCAGTTGTAGGACAGCTGCTGTTCTCTGGCCTATTCAGTCAGGGCTGAAGAAATCTGTGCACCTGAAGCATGAGTATTTGGGGAGGAAAGGAGAGAAATGGGCAAAGAATATACTGAAAGATAAGTTAAAAATTTAATTGACAACGACTACGGAACATATGAAACGTGACCTGTCCCAAGGAAGTCATGAATGCCAGAAACGGGAGCCCAGGAATACCTCCATTCCTCGATTCCTTCCAGGACTCACGTCGTGGGTCCCAAAAGGCAAGATTGGACCCACCCTGACAATGTGCTCCCTTCTTACTCCTGACCACAAAGGCTCCCAGATCCCAGAGGAGCAGGCTAGCGCCTTCCAGCATAATGTCGTGTCTGCTCATGAGGCCAGGCCACCACTGCATGCTGAGACCTCAGTCAGGGATAGAGCCCGCAGAAGCCCCGGCATGCATTGGGAGGAAGTGCTTGGAGAAGCAGGGAGGTACCGTGGCAGGGCACAGGCATTCGAGTCTCATGGTCGGCAGTTCTACCTACAAGCTATGTGACCAAGGCCACTCACCCAGAGCTTCGACTTCCTCCACTATAAAATGGACAACAAAAATTCAAACTCACTAGTTCCTGTGGGAAGGAAAAGGCAATGACAATATTAAAAAAAAAAAAATCCTGAACCTTTGGCCTGCCAACTCAAATGCTTCTTCTCTACCATTCTGTACTCCCCGGGGAACTCTAAAAATGATCCAAAGGATGCTCAGAGGAGAACAAAACAGACTGAGCTATTCTAAAACATGGTTGCGGTTTTCAATGCAATTTTAATGAAAAAGCCACGTGAACTCATTGTGAATCCATACAGTTCTAAGGATGACTCAATCTGTGACTGTGGCTCAAACTCAGTGTGGGAGTGAATGAGACTTATAAGCCAGTCCTGTGCAGTTAGAGGCACATTACAAACTGATTACCCAGAACCTACTGAAAGGCATGGAAATGCTATTTGGGATTCTTTGCATTTGCCCTTAGCCAGCTTCTTCAGGACAAACAGAAGACTCAAAGACGAACTTCAGATTTCCTGGACAGCTTTTGCTTCCTTGGGTACTGACTGACACTCACCTGGCCCATGCATTCCAATTCCACTTTGCTATAAGTAGACCCCCATTTTCATCCCAGCTCTCTGTATGAAAAGCCAGAAAGAATTCATATAAGTCATAATGAATGCTCTAAATGCCAGCAGAGAGAGACCAAAGTCAAGGCGGTAAAGTGACTCCCAGGGAAATAATGGACTCAGCTTAATTCTTGCTGAAAATGCTGTAGTTTAAAACCATGCCCCAAAGTATAGACTAAAATATCCTCAATATACTACTAATAAACTAGCCCTCATTTTAAAAACATCAGCAAAACCCCCAGCACCCACAGAGTAAGCTGATGGGTGGATTTGGTTTTATGAACACTAGAGAAATGTGGCCTGCTGAGGGGCTACTTCCTGGGAAGCTCGCGGCCAGATGTTATGAATGTTCTGTCACCTCCAGACTAGGGCATCTCTGTGTTTAACTCTGGGTACATCATGTGAGCATGGAGCCTGCAAGCTGGTGGTTTCTAGCCGAGCACCTTAAAGCAGCGACCACACTCAATTAATTCAGAGTGGGAAGAGAGAGCCAATGTGTATATTTAGTATTCTTCTAAGAGAAAATTATGTTGGATTTACATAAAAAGAAGCCATTAGGTATTTCTCTATCTTGCAAAGTAGTTTTTGTTGCTTTCTTGTACTTCCCCAACTGTGTATGTCAATGAAAACACGCATACAGACAGGCAGACACCTGAAATACTGAAAATCTACCTAGGCAACGGTGAGCTCTACCATCCACCCATCCCCAGCACATTTCCCATGGAGCCTCACTATTGACTCTGTTTAGAGTTGTGGCTTTTTTGTCTTGGATAGCAAAAACTACTGAAACTGAGAGGTAAAGACTTTCAAGATGAACATTACTTCTAGAACTAGACAACTAAGGCCCCTAAAGAAATAACCCAGTTATTATGCACCCAGACTTGGGGTTAGTTAATTAACAAAGAAGGCAAATTAAGAACAAGCTAATTACACATGGCCCTGGGATGTTCTGAAACCAACTGAGAAGGCCCTAGCCATGGACCTAGGTTTTGGGGGAGAGAGTCCCTCTTGAGCCTGTCACGCATAACTTCTTGGGATTTCCAAACCGAATCAAGCAATTTTTCATTTGCAACATCAAGCAAGCCTTCAGGCTGAATGGGAACGCAAACATGTCACCGTTCTTATTTGTAAATACTTAACTGCACTGAAACTAGAAGATGATTTCCAAGAACATTCGTTGGCAAACATAAGCAATGGTGTACACAAGATCAGAAAGTAAATTCTGCCACAGGAAAAGCCCTCGATGCCTGAGAGCGTACACTTAATCCACACACCTCAGAGACGCACAGGGGCATCGTTCAAAAAAATACAAGAAAAGCATGAATTGGTGAACTAGCAGAAGCCACACAGGACCTCAATGGTTGGTTAGGAGGAGCAGGATGAACGGCATGAAAAGGAGGAAGCTCCAAGCTGAGAGGCCCGACCACCCCTCACAGCCCTTCCCACTCAGCAGGACAGACAACCCACCAATGCTTATATGCCATGTCTATTAAAGTAGAAAAGAAGCTCAAAGTCGCTTGGGCTACAGAAAAGGGCACTACCTTGCTGTCTTGCAGCATAAACTTGAAACCGTCTCTTCAGATTTCTGGGTTTGGTTTCTTACTCTAAACTAATGACCTTGGCCACAATGACCTCTAAAGTGAAGGCAACTGTGGTCACATGAGCTAGTGAAAGGAAGCCTCAGTTCATCATGCCACGCAGGGCACATGAGGCTTGGCTCTTCCTGAGTCACCTGCTATCCTCCGTTTAGACCCTGTGATCCATTAGTGTACCTATATACCCTTCTAGGTTATGATGAATAGGGCAGCTAACCTGGGAAAATTCAAGTGATCATGCAAGTGAAGTCAATTAAATGCTGAGATGACATGAACAGAAATTGTTGGAAAAGAAGGCTGCTTTTTTTCCCTCCCCAATCCCAGTAAGGACATACTAATCATGCCATCCCCCCAGGCCCTCCACTGGACATCTATAAGCTAATTCCACCCCAAACCCACATTGAGATGCAGCCTGGTGCCACCTATGGGCATCCCCTGGTACTTGTGGGACTTTATGCACATGGTTCTGTGTAGGTACACATGTATAAATATATATAGACACATATAGTTTTAAATTTCAGATTGGTTTCCCTAGTATCAATGCTAAAATTAGCAAATTTACATTGTTTATTCTTCACATGCTGCATAATAATTTAAAATGACTACACATGTTATAAATATGCAATAATAGAATAAATGTTTATTTTGGGCTATGCCCAAAAAAATAGACAGTTGATTGGCATGAACAGGGAAGGGTGTGATAATAAGCAGAGCATGTCGAGGTTGGCCAGGTGAGGTTATGCTCCATCACATCTGGGAGGCAAGCAGACGCGGATTCCAGCACAAAGACCAGAGAGGTTCTTATGTTCAGCAGAAGCTGCTACCTTCTGGATTATGTTCATGTGTGCTCCTGTGGGCCCCATGACTGCTATTAAGATTTTCCAAAAGAAAGCCTGAAGCACGGGAATAAATATGTTTGCATGTAAAAGAAAAAAAAAATTAAATCAAGAAACAGAATTCATGCATCTCCACCCACCAGCTTTGGCAGAATTCACATCACTGGTTCAGGACATACACATGAGCCATGAAGTGACACCTCCTTAGTGAAGCCCTGTCACCAAAGACTTATAGTCCAGGAGCCAAGAGGACAAGTAGCAAACCTGGACTGGACAAAAGAGCTTTTTTACTCCAAGTAGTAAAAGGGCTTATTTGCAGGGGGGCTTTAGCTGCTCCTGGATAAGCCCGTTCTGGAAGAGCTGTGACATGAGACCTGAGAAAGGCCCCCAGAAAGGTCATTAATGAGCACAACAGCAACAAACAAGAGTGCAGAAGCACCAGTCGGCCTGAGCATACAGACATCCTTCCATGCCCAGCAGGTTGAAATCACAGGACGGGCATACACTGCAGACACTTCCACTTCACATAAACCATCGCTCCAGTAGCCCTGACTCAGGTGGCACTTGAAGAAATGCTGCCATCCCACAGAAGACAAAACTCTTCCCTCCAAAGACTGTAACTCTTCTAAAGAGCTATCAGTGTGCTAACTGGATAGTTCCACAATCCTATGGCATTGAGGATTTCCTTATGAATTTAAAATCATTTTAACATGGTCTGTTAATGTTGGTATTCACTAAAACCACCACTATTTAAATAATGAGTAGGCATGATAACTTTTATAGATAATATGGAAGTGACACATAGACATTCTACATATTCTCTTTTAAGAATGTCTTACATCATTAGTTAAGTGTCATCAATAGAAAGATGCATCGAGATATGTCAAAGATGCCACAGTCACAGTTTGAGGACTTGTTTATAGAAATAGACAATGTACCCATCAGAAAAAACATATTTTGTTATGTTAAGATATTATTCCATACTATCTTTATCAAACATCCCTAAGGCAAAAATGTAATGCTACTACTTAATGAACGGAAGATAATAATTTGTTAAGCCGAAATAATATTTAAAATGTCATATATTTTCCTTATTGATCCACACATGCACACGTGTATCAATAAATCCATCCCAAAATTTACATATCCTATGTGTACCCCTACCCATTTATCTTCCCTACTCAGTCCACACTTTAAAAGTTTCTACAACTTCGGTATCATGTCTCCTGCCTCTGGGCCTTCGGTACTGTCTAGGTGCAGACTTGCAGCATTTCCGGTCACCTCCACATTCCTCTTCCCTACTCCCCTTCCTCTCAGAGGCCCGACACAGCCTGAGCCAGCAGAGGTTGTGGGTGGAAGGATTTAGAGCTGGATGCTCCAGTCAACAGGAAGGGGCTTGAATTCACCTCCACTGCCTTGAGTTTGTGGCCTTGGGCAAGTTCTTCATTGCCTCCAAGCTTCCTTGATAATAACAGAACAACACTCCCAAAGAACTCAGGTGAGACATACACAGGTGCATGGCACAAGCCCTGGCATACAGAAACTGCTTTACCCCACCCTCATCCTCTTCATCATCATCATCATCATCATTGACTTCAATGTACAATGCTAGGTACAGAATCCTCTGCAAGGTCTTTGGGCGGCCTTTTTTACCCTCCACCACCTTGAACCTCAAATTCATGTGCATTACTTGAGCCCTTCCTATAATACGGATTCTGTCTTCAATCAAATTTGAAATTTTGTTCATCGTGAATTTTTGCATTCATTTTGATTTTTAAAAATACTGATCATCTTGATCACTGGAGTTAGTGCCCCTTGAGCTTTATCCCTAGTCCTAGTCCCCATCCTACCACTGGGGCAAAGTGCACCTAAAATCCTCTTTTACTGGCTGTACATGTTCACTCCAACATATTCTTCAAGTCACAGTAGAGATGTCAGTGCCATTCTGCAACTTCATGTGACCATTCTTATTCCCGCTTCATCCACTGCCACTCGGCTACCTCTGTGAGCTCCCATGGGATGAGGAATGTGCTTGGCTCTCTTTGCCCTGGAGACAGCACTTGACAGACCAGGCACTCAGAGAAGGGTTCTCAGATGGTGGCAGATCAAGCAGCTCTAGAGCAGCCACCCTCAATGGACCGACCGCGGTGCCTTGTGCAGTGAAACCAGAGGTGCACTGAGACTTGGGTCACAGTCAGCAAGAACAAAAAAGGACCAAGAAAAAACACAATAGAGGACACTGTCATGGTGAAGAGTATGGCTCCACAGAACATTTGTCTCAGACTTTGACATACAAACGTGCGTGAGTACATACGCACTCAGTTCCAGCGTAAGCAAACCTCAGAAGTGGTCAAACAGTTTGAAAGACAGCTTTCCAGAGCAACACAGAATGTCTTGGTCTGTCATTATCATGTGCCCTAGCCACAGCAGAGAAAGGAGAGCACTTCCAAAGTCATCTAAGACCCTGGAAGTTGGGGGAAGAATTAAGTGGCGACATGCTCAGAGCCAATCCTGGGTAAATGAGGAATTCCAGAATTCTGGAGTGGACACGCTCAGGGATTTCTCAGGCATTAGCTAAGAAGTAAAGAGACCCATTATCAAATTAATAACATATCTTTAGGGTTGAAATTACCATCACGAAAATTTGGTAAAATGTAGATTTGCGCATCTAAAAGTGTGAACTTGATGAAAATAATGGACACAAAACTCACAATAGAAACAGTTGCAAATGTTGCCAGGTACAAAACAGAAATGAACTAAATCTCCACCTCGTGATACATATGGAAAGAGTGGTGATGGAGAATGGGATTTCAATTAAAAGAAAAGAGCTTAACTGTCTTTGTACTATTTAAAAACTGGATTATGTATTTAATTGTCCTAATGGAATTCACCCTGCATCAAACCACCAACAGAAAAATTGATCAGTGTTGATATAGTTCTGATTAAAATGTTTTATTCATAAATATACAGTTAAAAAAATCTTTAGGATCAAAATGGCAAGGCTGAAATGGCTGGCTTGACTCTTCCTACCCTAGACAGATTTCCTAAGCACAGGTGCCATCTCTAGGACACAACTTTAAAAAAAGAAGTTCCATTTATTGATACTTACTGTCTACAAACAGCCATCTGCATTGTCATTGCTAGGTAATCTTTATAAACCAGCTTAAGTGAGCTGAATGAAAAATAAAATTTCATGAAGATACATTGAAAACATAGTTCACTGAGAAACAATCATGGACGCAGGGGAAAAGGAATAGTAGAGAAAGGGGAAAAAAAAAGATCAAAGGAGGGATACATATGTATTTACCAGAGTCCTGAGGAACTGTGTTGTGTGAACACATGCACACACAGTCATACAGGTCACTGATTCACCGTCTGGGCTCTGGCATGTCGCTAGAGAGCGATAAAAGTAACTGGCATTCTGTGAAACATGAAGGAAACAAGTTTTTAAGAGCTTTCTAAAATTCTAAAGATAAGAATGGTTTTATTAGAATATTCACTTATTCAAAAGGTGTTGCATAATCTCTTGTTGAGTATGGATGATATAGAAATATGTCCAAAAGCACAGACCATGAGAAAGTTACTTTGGTATGGTGTTAAGAGATTCTGAGGGATAGGCCAGTACTTAACCTAAATCACTTTATTAATTCAGACTTGACCTGCTTCCAAAAACAGGATCTAAGGCAACTTAAAGGAAGGACAAGCAGAGCACAGGGTGAATAAATGTTTGAGAGTCACTAGAAACTGAAGAAAGTGGGCAGGGAACGCATAAGAATTAATATGGCCTGGAAATGGACCAAGTCGAATTATAAGATCCAGAAATATGTCATGTTCTCATGTGTTTATCATAAAAGGGATTATGGCAGTTCCTTGGGGTATCCTGGGAGCTCAGGACTAGAGGGTGTTTTGAACCTGCAGGGGCCCAGCTGCATATGATCTGGGATCACGTGACAGATACTATCCTTGCTACAGCTGTTCTCTACTCCTTGACAGTCAGATTTTAGAAACATTCATAGTAATTGGCGGGGGATGAAGGAGATGAGTTTTTCTTGAGTTCAAAACTTGCCACAGGGTAAGGACTGTGCCTCAACCCCTAAAGACACAAAGATGTGGCAGCTCTTTTCTCCTTTGTCTAGAGAAAAAGAAAATACTTGGCCTGGAGAGCTAGGGAGGCTTGCCATGAGGGCAGGGACACCAGAAGGAAGCGCTAGCATTCCTCTGGCACCTGGCTCCTTCCCCTCCAAGCCCACAGGTGGCCTTTCTCCACACTGAGCTCAGCTCCCCTCCTAGTCCTGACCAGTGGGCTGACACCAGAAAGGCCCCATGAGCAGGCCTGGCACCGTCCGTACTAATAAATGTGGCCCCACTGCTGTCACTGCTGGGTGTCCCCCATCCTCTGGAACCACACAGCCTGCACTCAGGGAGGTTCAGTATGTCCCCCACGCTGTGCCAAACACATTTCAAATGTTCCCCTTACCGTCCAACCTGGGGCATCCCCAGGGCCAGGCAGGCTGGCCAAAGGTGAGTTTCATTTATCAACTTTTAAAAAATGTTTGGCTTGAAGTCAAAAAAGGTCCTCACCCTGGGGTCAGCTATGACCCCAACAGAGCCTTTTGCCTGGCAATGAGACAAAGTGCTACTGGAAGATACCATACACAAGCCCAAGGGCAGCCAGGAGCGTCTGCACCACAGAAAGACCCCTCCAGATTCAGGATAGAGGAGACCAGTGTGCCCCTCCTTTCCAGCCATCAGAAATCTTCCACATGCTTGAAATGGAAAGAACAGAAATGAGAAGAAAGCTATATTATTTTCATTACTGGGTAGACTCCAGAATCTAATTTTTTTGAAATATATTGTATTTATTTTCTTTTAAACATCTTCTTAATGCCTTCCTTATAGAAAATTTGCTCAGGGTTACTGTTGAGTTTTCAGCCATGCTGATTCCATTACTTGTGGTTATAAAGGATCAACAAAGTGACAATGACACTTCACACACACAAAAGCCAGCAGAAGAGACTGAATCCTAAGAAAAAGACACTGTGTTCACCTGCCTAGGAATATTAAAATATCAACAATATTAAAGTCCCCAGATTTTACAGGGTTTTTTTTTTTCTTTTTCTTCTAAGGAGTGAGAATACTAAGAAAACATGCAGGTCTCAGTAGTTGATGTACAGTATTTTTTTTGGATCTAGCAAATATACTTTTTATAACTTTTCTCTGAAAGAAGGAACTTTCTAGCTCAGATTACTTGGACACTCTTACTGTTTATCCTTCCCTTTTTTGAGCAGTCAAAAGAGATTTCTTTCAGGACTTCAAATAAATAAGATATCCAGCTGAACAAACACCATATATTCTCATGGATTACTTTGGCTTCTTAAAGAATATTTCACTTTCTTTTTTTTCAAATGTAAATGATTAAAGAGGCCATCATATGAAACTCAAGAATGAACTGTTTAAAGTGGTGTGGATTCCACACAAGGTGGGATGTAAAGAAGCAAAACGTCCAGCTCAGTGAAAGAGTGTGATATTTCACAGGGGAAATTTGAATATTGCTAAGTATTTTATTATATGTTTTAACAGGGCTGATTTTATGACATGAAACCCAAACTTTCCTACTTAAAATCAATGTCTACTATATTTTCCAAAGAAAAGAAAAAATAAAGGTTTCTATTTTCAAAAAGCAAACCCCAAAACAACAACCACCACAAATCCTATAGATTACACATCGTCTGAATGAGCAGAATAGTATGCTATGCAGGCTTTGGAATGATTGGTGAACCTTATCTAATTTTACGGCTCAAAACAAAAAAAGTTCAGGGTTTCTGGCCAATTTTTAGAACTCAACTCCAATCTCGGCAATAGAAGTTTCTTTAAAAAGAAAATGTGGGCCATCTATTAACACGGGCCCCCTCTACCAAAGCAGCATGAAAACAAATACTTGACTTTAGGAAATGATCCACATGCTTCTTTATTCTCTTCATAAGCTTTCTTATTAAAGGACTAAATCTTAGCTCCCATCATGAGGCAGAAATGCATAAATACATAAAGGGAAAAAAGGTGCTTTCCACACCTCTCAGCCCAGAGAGAAGGCAGATCCGAAGAACACAGAGACACCCACTGGACCCGGCAAAATGAGGATAGGGTAACAGCAGTAAGATATCACCTTGGTGGCTAGGTTACAGAGGACTGTGACTTCCACCTCCCTGTGCACGCTCTTCCTGTCCTGGCTTCCATGGGCCAGCTGCCATGTTGCAGAGGCCTAAGTGGCACAAACCCCAGTGGGGAGCCAAAGTCCCCAATCTACTGGGCCACAGGGAGCTGGGCCTCGAGGAGACTCTGGCCTGGCTGCCACCCTGGGTTTGGCTCTGAGCCTTACCTGCTTTGCTGTCAGGTCAGCTACTGCCCACCTGGGTGGGGACTGGGCGCAGGGAAGAGGCAACACTAGGTCAGAACTCCCCACTCCAGGGCCCTCACTGTGGATCACCTCCCTCTGAGGTGCGAAAGTGCTTTATGGATGACAAAGTGCTCTCTGCTACCTGGCCTCAGCCATGCTGTACCCACCTGGGGACCGTCGCACAGCAAACTTAGCATTTTCTAACCAGATTTATGGATGATCCTTCCCGACACCTTTTTATCATATTGAGGAGGAAGAAGACACCCAGGCCATCTGCATTTCTACTTTACCCTCGGCCTCTCTGGCAGGTCCGAAACAAGAGAATAAAGAGAGTTACTAGTCCACATACAGAAAACCTCCCATTTGACTCTGCTGCTGCATTTGCCCACGCAAATCAAGGGAGGTCTGCCAAGCACGACGGGCTACTCCCTGGCTCGCTGTGTTTTCTACCAGAAGCTGATAATTTCTTCCTTGAAGATGAACTGGTTAAAAAAAAAAATCCTCAAATTAATTAAAGGTACCTCCAGTCTGAACCCCAAGAGGTTCCCTCCCTCATTTCCATGCTACTGCTTCTCTCCCGCACATGGTGTTGCGAGAACATGGACCCTGCTCAGTCTTGTGCACCTAACAGCATTCCAGGCATGCGCTAGATGATCAGAAGTATTCGTAGGTTGGTTGGATGGTTGGATGGTTGGATGGACAGACAGACTGACAGGTGGACAAACACATGGACACACATCAAAAAGACATAAGATCAAACTTTTTGTGGTGCATACATGAATTTATTGGCGTGGAACCCTGCTTCCAGAGTTTCCCCTCTTGGTCCCAATCCTCCCTGAATGTAGATAAGCTGTCTTATCTTTAAAGGTGCCACTGGCTGAAATAATTGCTGTGAGACAAAACAATTCTGACACCAGGTCACTGTGCTCCCTTCCCGCCCCTCTGTGGTGCATCTGCACTCAGGAGATCACCTGTGCTCTGAGGGTCAGTGAGGGTTTGGAACCTGGGATGCAAACGATGCAAAGAGGAACTGCGCGTAATTTGTGGGCCAGTCATTCCCAGGTATAAGGCCACCGTTTCCCACAGAAAAGCAACAGTGCTAAGATGGGTTTTCCCTTCAGTGACCCAGGGCTGAGGAAGACTGCTTCGCCTATCAGTGGTGTCCGGCCTACACTCTCTGGCACCCCAATTCTAGCACTTCCCTGTAGTCAGGGGAAAGGTCCGAGGGCGTGAGCCTGCTTTTCACTCAGTGGTCACGACAAGGCTGTGTTAGTCTTTCTTACCTCCTTGCAAATTAAAGTATTTTTACAAACCAACAGGACACTGATCTTGGTTAACTGACTCATTTTGCAACTAAGAAAATGAAGTCCGAGAGGCTGGGGGACTTGCTCAGAGACACACAGTTGTTTAATCAGAGCAAACTCTGACCTTCCTCTAGATGAGGGGACGTAACCACCACCACCCCCAGCATAGAGCTGGCCTCAGCCTCCTGGAAACACGTCTTCAGTTCCCTGCAGAGCACTCCTTTATCTTGGTGCAATAAGGGGCTGGCAGGGGAATCCTGTTCCAACCAACCCAGAGCTCCGGGCTTGAGACTTTGTGTTGGCTAGAAAAACATTACCTTACACCCCGTGGGGGGGGGGGAGAATCAACATGTCTGGTGAGTGACAGAGAAATCAATGCTCACAGAAGGAATGTTCCAGAAAACCAGCACAAACTCCTGGCATCTATTTAGTCATGCTGGCCTCCAAGATCTAAACTGCACTGAGGCCAAATGCTGTTGGAAAGAAGTATGAAATTGGAGAAAAGGAAACTGAAAGGGGGAGGATCAAAGAAGGCAGCACTAGCTTTAAACACACACACACACACACACTCTCACTCCTTCTCTAAAGAGCTGCAGAGAGCTATGAGGAGCAGCTCATAGCCGCAATGCCAGCGGCCCACAGAAGAAAAGAGCGCAGAATTTCAAATCTTGGTTAAATGTTCATTAAATAATTCGTCACCCATATTAAGGCCAGCTGGTTGCTTGGTCCCCTCCTGGGTGCTCATGAAGCAAGAAAGGCTGAGCCAGACTCGAAATACCACAGAGCCCGGCAGAAAGCCTCCAGGGATCGGGCGCCACTGCCTCTTGCCTCTCGAGGAAGGTCCTTTGTCTTTGACAAGAAAGGGACCAGCCTCCCCCCTCCAAGCTGAGGGCTGCCGCTGGCAGGCACACAGGAAGCCAGGAGGGTCGCGCTGGCAGCAGGACAGCCATCCTGGCCCCTGCCCTCAGAAGCTGCAAGGTGCTCACTTGGGGTTCTTAGGCATGACACTCCAGGGAGGACGGCACCTTCTGTGACACTCTGCCCCCTTGGGAGGAGCTCAGGCAACCATGAGCAACCCTGAGAGATGCAGCAGGCCAGGCAGTAGCCATGGTCCTGCCAGGGAGGCCAGGTGCAGAGGACAGGCACTGGGGACCTCACTCGTGTCTGCACCCCAAAAGGTGGTGCTGGATGCGCAGAAGCAGAGAGAAGGGCGGGGGAACGCTGGTCAAAGGGTCCCAATGTCAGCAACAGAGAATGACTTCCAGAGACCCATTGTACAGGACGGTGAATACAGTTGGCAGTAACACATCACATGGTTGCAATCTGCTCAGATAGTAGATCTTAAATGTTCTCCCAACAAGAAAGTGAAAACCGTGTGGTATGATGAATGTCAATTAGCTCAGCTGGGGTAACCATTTCACAATGTGTGTACTATATCAAAACACCACAGCGCACTGCAACAGGTCCAAGTTCTGTCAATCATGCCTTAGGAGAGATGAAGAATAACAGTGGTGATGATGATTAAGATCTTACTGAATGTCTATTGAGTACCTGGCCAGCTCCAAACACTAAAGCCAAAGGCAAGACCAGCTGGTATTTACTGAGCATCTAGCATGTTCTGGATGCTGTACGCTGGATGCCATTTTCTTTTCATTTCATTTTCCTTCAGGAAGCTCTAACATCCCAGTTTTAAGGACCAGGAAGGCAGGAATGACCATCTATTATTAAGCATCTAATTATCTTTTATTCATTCATTTACTGTAAGGAGCCAGGATACAGTAGTGTGGAGATAAGGGGAAGACAGACAATAAGTACAAAACCACAGAAGTGACTTAAAATTGCAGCCCTGTTCAATGCTGCTCAGGGAGCATACAGCACCCTCAGGCAGCAGGACTCCAGGCACTGGTTTTCACTGCACAATCCTGCAGGGCCTTGACAAATCTGAGACCTAGCTGCCCAGGTGAGGTGTGATGTTGGGTTGAGTCTGGGGATGAGGAGAGCCTCAGGGTGGGGCAGGAGGGTGTCCCAGACTGAAGAGCAAGTGTCAAAGCCCCCAGGGAGGAACAGCAGGTGGCTGGCTTCAGGTGAAGCCCGTCCCCTGACGGGCCCAGGAGGGCCAGGTGGCTTCTGTTCACCTCTGACTTGCTCACGCGCCACCCCAACCTGGAAGGCACTCCCACTCCACACGGGAGCTAACTGTGTGCATGGCTATTCAGCAGAGCCTGTCCAAAAGCCACTACCCATCCTCCCTCCTTGCCGTCTGAGCTTGACTCTCCCCTAGAGGCTCAAACCTGCCAGGTATACCTTTCCTGGCCTTCCCTGCACCTGGGACAGGAACAGGTGACTTAATTCTGGCCAGCAGGAGCTGAGGTAAAGTCACCGTGGGAGGATAGTTCTCAGACAGAATGATATTCTTGATAAAGCTAGGCAACAGCCAAGGAGGCACCTGTCCCCACCATCTTGCCTTCAGATTTTGTCATGTAGGATGAAATGATAGGTGCTGCTGCAATCATCTTGTAAGCATGAGGAGAAAACCAAGGCACTCATAAAGGAGCTGCCCATAGAGTGCCCCAACACACCTCAGGGCTTCTAGATATGTGGAAACAATAACAACAAAATACAAACAGAAAACCAAACCTTTATTATTCTAACCACCTTTAAGCAGATGTTATAACTCATGACCCAAAGCATCTTAACTGATATAGAAAATTAACTTCAGAAAGGATAAGTCATTTCAAAATTACACAGCTATAAAGGGAGGGAGGGGCTGAGTTTTAGACACAGGCCTAAGGTTCCAAATCCTTTGCTCTTTTCCAATCTACCCTACCCATCGGCCTCTGGACTGAACAGTGTAACCATTAAAGCTCTGGACAGAACTGAGAGAAAACTAATAAAACCACTCCTGATGATAGTCCTGAAAAATCAGGAGAAGGTGTGAGGTTGTGGGAAGGTGGCCTTGGAGGGGAGAAGAGGTGCTCACTGTGGGGGCCAACATAGGAAAGTTCACGTGTGGCCGTGTCACCACTGGGACCCAGGAGTCTGCTGTTTTGACACACCTGGACTGGCTGGCGGGCCACGGCAACGTGACCATTACACCCTCATTCAGGAGCCTCAAAACATGCAGATTAGTGAGTTAGTTTCCACTTTGTGAACCGTGTTTCCTTCTCCCAACATCAGCCAGGCCCTGCTCGCTCTCTCCACCTCATACATAGTTGATTCACTATGAGTTGACTGGGGGCTTCGTCCTTGATGGTCCCTACAGCACAGGTGCCACAGGTATTTAAAGGGGGTGAGGAGAGAAGTATTTTTCTAAAATACTAATTTAAAGAACAAATCAACATCTATTATCTCATTCATTATGTTTTCAGTTGCACATTGATAAATCACACTGCTGTGGGTTATTCAAGGGCAGAATTTCCCAGCCTGGCTTTCCGAAGGTTAGGAGAATGGCATCCAGTGCTGTTTCCAGTTATAATTTATAACTCTGCAACAGGACCAGCTCTGCAGACCTGTCCATTAGCAGGGGAGCTGCACATCTATTAAAGCTCACACAATGGCCGGCTTTACACGGCCACAGGAAACGAAACCCAATCATTTTACAAGTTCTACAAACTCTCCATTTTTTTTTTTAACGTAAAATGATTCGAAAATGCAGTTCCCTAAAACATCTGCTAAGCTCTTGCTACCCAAACACGTGATGGTCTTTCTACTGTTACCTGCCAACACAAATATTTGATTGCACAGAACACCCTAAGAAGCACGTGATGCAGCTCAGCTTCCAGTCGGCCAAGGGCTTGCCTGGACCTGGGACCTCTGCTCAAGAAATTGTTGACAAGAATTAAATGCTTATGTGGAGAAAGGGGCGGGGTGAGCTTCGTGAAGGTGCTGTCTGTTGAACGTGTTAAAAAGGAACCGTGGCTGCACAGGGAAATACATACAGCACAGCACCGTTGTGCATGAGACAGCAGTAAATGGACCCAGGGTAGGCGGTAAAGGTGGGAAGGGGAAACGCCATTTTCGAGAGCTGGGTAAGCTCTCTATGCACACAAGATGATAATTCTAACACTGAGGAACACTTGTTAAGAAGCAGCTGAGAAGGGCGGTGTTGTTGGTCAAGCATCCTGCTATGTGGCCTAAACCGCCAAGCTGGAAGAACAGTAGGATTCCAAAGTTCACACACAGGGCAACAACTGAAATGGTCAAAATCACCCCTGAAAATCTCTCATGTCATCTGATAATACCATAGTCAGGTTTTGTGAATTAAAATCCATAGAGAAATATCTCTGTAAAAGTGCAATATACATATTAAGATAAAATGCACATTAACACATATATAAAATTTGATTTTAGAGTATTTTCATTGCATAGAAGGAGCTAGAGAGAGAGGAAAACAAACAGTGCACACATGATGTGACTTCACTATGAGAAAGCTCTCATCCAAGTTTAGTTTCCTTTAAGATGCTTCAGGAATAGTTATTTGAAGAATTTTGCATTTTGTTTTGGAACCATGCTTAAAAATAATCCTATTTCTATTTTTACTCATTATTTTAATTTTATTAAAAGTTGGAGGGAGGGTAAATAAGCGCTTCCACCTCAGCACCCACCCCCTACACTGCTTCTGTCCTCGGGATGTCAGAGGGCAGCAGAGATGTGGCTTTACCAGTAGGGGTCGCTGTGCTGAGAATTAATCCCTATGAGTTTCTCATTAGTGATTATTATACTGCAGGCGGCCAAAATGGAAAAATTAATTAATTTCAAAGTGATAATGCATTTACAGCAACAATTAGAAATGTATAACTGTAAAAGGGCAACATTTAAAAGACAGATTACATTTAATAAAGTTGCACAAGAACATCCAATTGTAAAATTACTGATCTGCAACAATATTCCTTAAAGAGGCACTTAAAATAGCCTGACTCCATGAAGGGTGACCTAATTACTGTAACTAAAATCACCACAGTCACAGCAAGTCAAAGCAAATAAAAAAGGGATGCTGATATTAGAATACTGCTGTTTAATGGTTGCGGAAGCGGCTATCGTGGATAGGCAAAGCCAGGGCTCCAGCCCAAGGCTACGTTGTATTTCTTTTCTCCTCGATCTCACACAATGGAGTGTGTACTCCAGCAAGTTTGGTGTAGAGAGAAAAGACTTTTCTAGGTGACGTGCAGAAGACGCCAGAAAGCACAACACCCAGCGCCAGACGCCTGGCAAAGGGGAGATTACATCCCTGCCATGCAGCTTCCTCTGTGTTCAGGAGTCCAGCCCTCAGGTGGGGAGGGCATGGGCTGCACCTGTAAGGTCTATGTCTAAGAATCTGTTGCCATTAAAATGGCAGAGGTGCATCCATCGCCCAAGGAGCAAATACCTTATTGTGACCGAAAGAAGGCCAAGCCACACACACTGGAGAGCACATGCAGGTGACTCGGAATCAGTCTAGTTTTTCCTGCCAATGAAACTGACCAACCCCAAGTCTACATTCAAGCCGATGCCACTCTGGAAGTCACCAAGTCCTAGATGTCTATGAAGGAGAAGGGACTGGCTCAGAGTTTGAGAAATAAGTCCAAGCCCCACCTCCTCCCACTTCTTTATAAACTGGAACTTCAAAGGCTCAAAAATACCTCTAAGCACCTAAAAATATAAATGTATCATTAGGGAGGATTTTAATGAGAATCTAATCTCGGCTCCACATCCTGCAACTTTCTAATCTTTATGCTTATTTAAGGCACTCCACTTGTGGAATATTAAAGATGCTGTTCTACCAATTACTCATGGAATGTCCACAACACTATATTCCTGGGAGACCAGATGTGCAGGTTGGAGAACAACCAACCAAGCTCCCTCCATGCACATGCCTTTCCTGCCTCATGAGTAACTCCTTCCCTCCCTCCATCCCAAAGGCCCAGGAACAGAGCCCTCCAGCTCCCTCTATGCCTGGTCCTTTGGCCTCCTGACTCTTGTCCTGTTATCAGCAATTGCACTTTGGAGAATATTCTAGACCAAGACACTGCTCACAGAAACTAATTACAGCCAACACAGTGAGAAGTATCACTTGCAACAGGCACTGTGCCAGGCACATCATTGATCTCTGCTCTCAACAGGGAAGCCACTGGGCCCTCATGACCACTTACATTAACTAAAGTGCAGTCAGATTAAAAATTCAGTTATATTAGCCTCGATAGCCATATATGGCCAGTGGCTATCATGTTTGCTAGTCAGATTACAGTCTCTACAGAAATTCTACGTCCACTCTTACAGATGTTATGTCCATCATGGCCGATGGTCACAATGGCATGCATCACCCTTTTGTTTATGAGGAGGCAGGCTTGAACCTGAAGTGACTGTCCAGGCTGTCCCCATATCCAGAGGCAAGAACCAGGTCTTGACTTTAGGGTCACTAACAGGAGAGCTGTCCAGGGGAACACTTCCTTCTCTTGCCACCACTGGGAGGCCACGTCAAACCCCTTTCTGGGTACAGGGCGCTGCTTACCGCTGTCTTTCTAGGTACATCGCTCCCCTGGCAACTGACACAGAATGCGGGTTTTCACGAGGTCACAACTCTCCTCTAGCTCTTCCCAAGGGCTAGTTATCTGTGCACGTCCAACACAGTTCTCACCCAGGGTCTTGCGGCTACTCCATTTACCTGTTACCCAGGATGCTCTATGGGGTCTTCCTCTCAGGCCCCAGCCTTGCCTTGCTCTGGTCACTGAAACCTGCTCACAAGTAGTCTCTGTGCTTCTGTGACTGGGGTCCAGATGGATCAGGGTAGCGGGCAGAAGAGGCCACTGCACACTGGCCAGGGAGGTGGAGGACAGCCACAGAGGCCAGGCAATAGGGAGTGGCACTCACGGAACACCCCCACTCAGTGCTCTTCCTGGCCCACGTGGCAAGGCTCCCGCCTCAGTTTAACTCCACACTGGTTTCTCACTTGGCTTACATCCTGACCACACTGACCACAAACCCAAACACTCACCATGCCATGTGGATGCCTGCTCCAGGTGACTTGCTAGCACGTCACAGAACCCTTCCTGGCAGATCCAAGAAGCCAACGATCACCCCCAACTTTGCTAGGCACAGTTCACATTCGATATTATGTAATAACCAACCCACCCCCAGAAACACAGATACCGACCAGCATGACTGCACGAGAACTTGTCTTTTCCCCCTGCCCCTTTCCAGGGCCCTGAACCCTGGGATCAGGTCACAGAATAACAGTTTCTGCCTTTTCTGTTGACCACTCCCCACACTCTGGAATTCACACCAAGTGAGCTAGTTGTATTACCCCCCATCGATTCCATACACAGAGCCCCCTCCATGTCTTTCCTGTCACATCCTCTGATTAGGAACATTCTGGAAGAGGCTACAAAACCAAAACTCTTTGTTGTCATAGAAGTAAGCTCCTGAGCGCCCACCAAGGAACACATCCAGTGAGAAGACTCAAGACGCAAGGATTACCAATGACAATCGAGGACTGGCCGTGGGCACCTGTTGGTCTTGAAGCCACAGGACAACAGAAAATCAGGAGCATGTCTCTCCTCTCTCACCCAAACTCTAACAATCCATCCGCAGCTGTGAGGGGCACTGACACCCACTGGAGATCCACATTCCTAACAGCAAAAGACCTCACTGTGGTCAAGGAAAGCCTTGGGAGGAGAGAGCCCTACAGGCTCATGGAGAGGAAACTGGTGGGAGAAGGTCTCAGCCCTGCGACCCACGTGCGAACGGTTTCACGCATTTACTTTCCAGATACAATCCCCACACTCACCCACCCCCTGACCAGGAAAACTACTCGCCTCGTCCCCTCTGCATGTTAAGTATTCACACTTGAACTGCATTTGTCTTACTTGAGACCCATTTGGGGACTGGGTGTGCCTCACTAGTGGAGCCCTGGCCTGGCATCTCTTACTTCCTGTCTCCTAAATAATTCCTGAGATTCAGGTAGTTCTTAAAAGTCATCCACAAACATGAAGGGCAAGGACGGCAGGTGTGAGCGACCTCAGAAAGAGGCAGACCACACTCAGAGGCTGAGATAAACTGGAAGATGATGGTCTGACACACTTCCAAAGGCCAAAACATGTTTGGAGAACAGGGAATTTCTGTGGTGTAGATGTTATGTTTGGGTAATGGAAACACTAGCATTTATTAATAGGAAAATATTGTTAAATGTCTGGAGATTAGAAAGTAGTCTTCCAAATACATCGTGTAAAGTATATATTCATTCGAATTATTTCCCTTTAAAATGCGTTCATGGAAGAAGTTTCTCGACACAATTGATAAACAACCATCAAAAATATAAAAGCTTCACATTTCCTTTTGTGAACACTTCCACATCTTATCAAGGTGATGTGATTTATCCAAGAAGATTCACGTGTGGGGATGTAAAGACTAGAGTACACTCCAGCCATGAAGCCTCTCCAGGAGAGGGTACACCGACTTCTCCATTCAAAGAAGAATTTAGAATATCTGATAATAGCTTCTCAGTGAACACAAAGGGACCACACTGCTACCAATCCAATAGTCACAAACCTGTGTGTGTGCGCACGTGTGTGTGTGTGTATATGTGTGTGTGTATGAAAGAGAGACAAATACACATACTGGGGGTCGAGCCCAGGGTCTCATGTATGCTAGACAAAGCACCACACACTGAGCTACATCTCCAGCCCTTTTGCATTTTCCCATTTTGAGACAGGGTCTCACTAAGTTGCCCAGCCTGGCCTTGAACCTGGGATCCTCCTCCACAGCCTCTCTAGTAGCTGGGAATATAGGCCTGAACCACTACACAGCACAAATCCTCATTTTTCACCTTCTAACATGAAACACAGTTCTCAAGTGCAATGCCCAACACAATAGGTGTTCGAAGTTTTTTGAGTCAAAACAGAAATCACATCCAAACAAAATAAACCATCAAGACCTTCAGCACAACATTGAGAAACCACCTCTTCTCTCCATCCTGCCACAGAGAGGCCGCCTGTGCTGGGCCCTTGCTGGCAGCTCAGGCATGACATGACCCAGGTAAAGACCAGACTTTCTCCTGGGGACAAATGGCGAGGAGGGGAGGATACGCACAGCTGGACATCTCCAGGGAAGGCACGCTGGAGGTGCTGGTGGCGCCAGAAACCGTGGACTTACCATGGACTTGGTGAACGGCCTCGCCAAGGTGAACAGCAGTGTGTATACCCACCAGTGGCGGTGGATGGAGGAGTACATCATGTTCCCAGGGTGCACCGCGTTGGACGTGACCCCACGCGGGGACAGGCGCCGGTGCAGCTCGTTGGAGAAAAGGATGTTGCACAGTTTGGATCTGTTGTAGGCCAGCATGGCCCAGTACTCGCCCTTTGATGGGGAGAGGCGGCTGAAGTCAAGCTTCCCGGAGGAATTGTTGATGTCCGTAAATCTGAAAAAAGAGGAGATAGGACACAAAGCAACCAAGCTGTAGCTTTTTGTCTAGTTGCATCTTTTTATTTAGAAATCTAAGGAGATGCTGCATGGACTACTGCAAACTCAGTCCTGAGTACATCAAATCACGTCCCTTCAAAACAGAGATCTGTTCATTACAAGCAAGTCACCCTCTTCCAAAGACACCTAGATCAGCCTGTGCTTGTAACAGCAGTCAACCCGCCCAGCTCCCCACAACACTTCCCAGGCATTTTTCAAATTAAATGAGGAAGCATCTTAAATCAAGGGGTGCTGCTTTTGGAAAGAAAGGCACCACTCGCCTAATTTTTGTTGGGCTGTCCTGAATTATTTCAGCCAAAGCTGGAGTCCTGTATGTATTTTTTATTGAGCATCCGAGAAAATACAGACAAGGCGTACTGCCTCCAAAACTCTCTTCCAGATTAAAAATTAATGTTTATAAAGGGGCTGTAACCTTGGTAAGGTGCCATCGATAGTCTTCTACGTTTAAAAGATAAATGTAAACAAAGCCAAAACGAGTTCTGGCAGAGCGTGATGTTTTTAAGTATACCCATGGCATGGATGTGCACAAATCAAAGTAACTAGTTGATGTTTTATAATTGGGTCTGACGGACTCGTTAAACACCAGCTGCTGGGTTCCATTCCTTTCTTCCTTTAAGAAAAAAAAATAACAAAGTAGTAACAGCTTTAAAAAAATTGGATCATAACAAAAGGAATTTCTAGATGTTCTCATCTTTGTTTAAAGACAACTCATATTTTGCTCCATTCAATTAACTCTGGGCTCTGGGTAATAAGGAAGTACGAGGATACCGCAGGAAACAGCAGAATGAAAAATACAGACTCATCCTGTCATTCAGGTTGGGCACAAAAACACAAAAGAGCCACACGGGCAGGTGAGACTTGCATTCTAAGGGAAAGTGACTGTCCTTTCTCTGGGGCTCCACCAGTGACATCCAATTTCTGGTGCTAAACGGTATTGCTGCTCTAAAGTCATCAACAAAGCCAAGGACCAGGAATGCCATCACGGATTCGGCAAGGAGACCTTGAATCTAATTGCTGGCTGCCTGTTTCCGAGTCCCCAAACTACAGGAAGAGCCCAGGCTTCTGAGCTTAATTGTCTAAGGCGGGGGAACTTAGCGGGAAATTTGAAAATTTATGGGGGTCTTTTTCTGGTGGAAATAACGATTGCCGGCAGGGACCAGGGATGGTGGATGTCCCACAATGCAGGTGGATTCTTGCTCGATAAACACTGCCCCCCTGGACTTCCAAGCAGATGAAAAGCCTGCGTCTAATTACCTGAGCCAGAGCCCAACTGTGCTTTACGCTTACAGTTTTACCATCCACCGAGTTTCCAGGATCGCCGTGCGAGAACCACATAAATGAGGAGGAATGGACGTGATTTCAGATTCTGGGGGTTTTTTGGAGCATGCAGCTTGAGTCAGCATTGGGTGCTGTCTCTTGCTAGGCCATACACCTGTCGACAGTCTGCCTATGACTGTTCCACTGGAGGTGACACATGCACCGACACACACATCTGATTGTCATGTTGTTGCAGAGGAGATACTTTATTTCTGAACTTTACTTCAATGCAGTCATAAGGTGTTACAGAAGAGCTGTCAGAAAAGGGGCTATGAGCCAAGAACTGCAAAGATCCAAGTTAAGGGACAGGACTAGGAGACCGGACTTCCTCAAGGCAGAAAAGGACATTACAGAGGTAGAGCAGATATAAACACCTTGGGAGAAACACAACACCCTTTGCTCCCACCTCCCAGGCTTCTTTTGCTAACTGCTCCTGGAAGCCCCCTTTCTGGTCTCTGCATTTAGCTGAACCAAGCTCGGGAGCCTCTTCCTCCAAGAAGCTTTCCCTAACACTTCTGCAGAAGTCGATATGATTTCTTGGTGTCGTTTTTGCAGGAGGGGTGTGGATTGAAAGAAGCCCCAGAAACAGGCTGAAATGCATGTTTCCATGGAAATTAAACATCTGCTTTCCAGGATATCAATCCCAGTGTTCGTTGACACTGCTGCCCCTCAAGGTCAATGACGAAACCAGCTGCGACTCCTTCAAGTTTTGCCTGTGTGCTGTGCCACCACCCCTGGCTGCAAGCCACGCTCACCTGGTTCTGACACTGGACTGTACCTCCTGTATGCTACTGGGGCAGTGTCTGGGCCACTGCAGGGCTGAACACGGGGTTAGAGAACTGAAGTTTGATCATGGGTTTGAAATTCCAAACCAAGGGGCAAATTTCCCTTGTAGCAAAAAGTCTTGGTTTGAGCCTTGCTCAAAGGGCAAAATGTACCACAAGGCGTAAACCCTCTGAGCTCTGTGTTAATATCTCTGTGCTGCCCTTTCTGATGTCAGGAAAGAGTTCCCTGCTTTGGCTTCAAGGCTGACACCTAAGTAGCTCATGAGTAAGGAACACAGGCAGATTATACTTCTGAGAGGGCAGGGTTCCTTCCTAGAACCCAATCTAAGAACAAGGCCGAAACACTGCATGGTAAGAAATTACATGGAACCAGGTTAGAGGGCACTTATCAAGGTGGAGAAGTGCCGGCTGCTGGGTCCCGGGTCTCCCCCTGGAAACAACACCTGCAGCATGAGAACCCTGATGTCCTCCTGCCATCTCTTGGGCAGAAAGCCCATCTGGAACTTCCCAAGGGTTGCATGGACCATCTTCCAGGAAGCACATAGGGTGGACCTGATCCCCCTGAGCCAAGGCAGGCTTCCTAAAATATGGCCACGTCCACCCCTCAGCTACAGAGGCAATAAAACAGCTCTTCAAAGGCTGTCAGCTCTATTTGCAAGTTGAAAAACTGACAAAGCCAAACAAAAAGGTCTTAATAGAATTCTCTCTTGCGGACACACTAAAATACTATACAGTTTGCCTCCGGACATTAACTTTTGATTTTTAAGGGCACCCCATCTTGTATTTATGTATTGTCTCATTATTTTTGTTGTTGTTGTTAAAATGAAGATTTTTTAAATTCCCCAGTTTAAGTAATAAGGATTGATTCCACGTAGACAAGAGTTAGCATGTTTAAAGAGCAGAACTAAATTTGCATTAGCAATTTTGTGTATTGACGTGATTGTGTGTGCATGATATTGTGTGTGCGTGTATGGTTGTGTATGTGTTTTATTGCGTGATTATGAGTAGTTGTATTTGTAATTGTGTAGAATGTGTATGTGAGTGCATGTACCTGTGGTTGTTATTGTGTGATTGTGTGAATATATGTATGAATGCATGTACCTTTGTGTGTTATTATGTAATTGTATGTGGTCATATGTGTTATTGTGTAAGTGTGTATGATTACATGTATCTGTAGTTTTGTTATGTGATTGTGTATGGCTTGGTTATTATGGAATATGTGTATGATTGTATATACCTGTGGCTGGCTGTGTGTGATTGAGTGTATGAATGTATGTGTTACTATATGAATGTGTATGATTACATTACCTGTGGTTGTGTGTGTTATATGATTGTGTATAGCTTGGTTGTTTTGGAACATGTGTATGATTGTGTGTACCTGTGTCTGGGTGTGTGGATATGTGTGTTACTGTGTAAATGTGTATGATTGCATGTACCTGTGGTTGTGTTACTGTGTGAATGTGCAGGTGGTTGCGTGTACATGTGGTTGTGTGTGGGGTTCTATAATTGTGTGTATCAGTTGGACACTCAACACAGTTCGAGCCATTAGAAGTGTCCAGCCGGACCTCTGCTACTTTCCCTCTATTTTAATTGTTATCTGAAAAATTTTCCCAGAAGGAAACCAAGCTCTCATTTCCATATGATACATTTCAGGTAGGCAGAAACTCAATTCACTTCCTCAGACTCCAGATAAGTAAGTAAAGCACAGTGAAGACACAGGGAGGCTCATAAATATTTTGCCTTGGGGCAGTCTAGTATAACATTTTCTGCAAACACAGGACTTTATTTTTCCCCTAACAGGGGGTCTTGACTCCAGTGAAGAGATCGCGCCAAGGTTTATGGAGGTAATTAGATATCAACACTTGCATTTTACTGCGTGGTTTAGGGCTCTGGGTTCTTGAGCAGGGAGTGAGGGCCCCACGTACTGCTGAGTTCCCGCCTGGCGCTGGCTCTCCAGGCCAACAGACACCTGACGAGCTGTGAGCTGGTGGCTTGAGGGGCCGTCACAGTGTAGGACCACAAAACCTGGGAGGGGCAACAGGGAAACAGAAACCAGAAGCAGTCGCCAGAGAGGAGGGCCCAACCACAGGCTGCCAGAGGCCCTGACTGTAAACTAAACTGGATCTAATTCAGAAGGCCAAGCCTTTTCCTTCCCAATGACTCTCTTAAATGGAATTAAGACCTGATCTCCAAGGCATGCTGCAGTCAAGGAGAGAACAAAGGCAGCCCGAGTATTAAGGGCAACCAGCAGCACCCACTGGACACTGTCTCCTACTAAGTACCAGCTCACTTGAACACGTCCCGAGGTGCCTGCCTTGTCTGGCCAGCATGGGGGCTGGCACATCCGCTGGAGCCCTCTCTGCTGCCCAACAGGCCACTCTGTTCCCTTCCTCAGACCTGCTGTGATTTGCAAAGATAAGGCATCCAGATTTCATTCCTGCCTAATTACTAGATGCTCTGTGTCTTCTCACATGGGGGAGGATTACCACCGGACACCCTCCTTTCATTTCAGCCATCATAAATTCAAAATGGTAAAGGCAAATCTATCTGCAGCATGTCACTTATACCATAAGCCCCTGTGTTCGGGAGTGATAAAGGGTTCAAGCTAACCCTTGGCTGGTCTCTCTCCCCCAAGTCCCAGGCGTTACATTTTATGGAAGTATGATTAAAAAAATAAGCTTCATTCTGGGTCACTAAAACATTTCAGGCAGGACTTAAGACGGAGGAGAAGAGGGAAAAATAGGCCCTCACACAATTTTTTTTTTCCAGCTACTCTGCTAAGAGCAGACGCTTCCTCCCACCCCCACACCAAGGAAACTGGAAAGAGAAATCTCCCAAACAAGTACTAAATCTAGCCTCACCCAACCCGCCAGTCCTTTGTCTTTTCTGAGCACTTTTCTCTTTAGACAAATAGTTGTTTATCCAACTCCAGAATCGAATATGCTGAAAATACGATGAAATTTTCAAATGTCTTTTTAGTCAATTGAATATTCTCCTAATGGTAATAGAAAAGAAGGACCATCTGATGTTTTAATTGAAATTTTAACCAAAAGAGGCATGGCCAGATTTCTAATATGTTCTAACTACAGTACTTCCCTTTCCACAATTACACAGCTAATGTCTGCATTGAATTCCCTAATTTCTCATTATAAAACAATTGGATTTCATCTCGCAGTCTTTAATTGCATTGTTTCTCCTGCTAGAATAACTGCACATTCTTCTTCCTAAGACGTTGAAGTTGTTGAATTACAAATCGATAAAGGTCACGCCATTCAGATTTAATCAATTATTATTCCATTTCTAAGCAAGATCAGCGCAGAGCTTGAAGTATAGTTGTAAAAACACCCTGCATTGCTATAGACAGCCTCCCCCAAACGGTCCCCGCCATCCCATACGCAGGGCCCTAGAGAAAGCAGGGCAGCCAGGCTGCGGGCTCTCCTACTCCTCGGAACACCGCGAAAAATGATCCTTAGAAACAGGGTCCTGGGGGAATTCTAGGAGGGTGTGGGGCAGGGGGGCAAGCGAAAAACATGGAATTCAAACCCACCGATGGGACTCGGAGGAGACCACGACCACGCGGGCAGGGGCCGAGCGGCAGAGAACGTCCTGCAGGAGCTGCACCAGGTAGAAATGCCCCAGGTGGTTCACCTGGAAGGTGGTCTCCAGGCCATCCTTTGTGAGGCTCCAGGGCAGAGCAAAAGCCGCAGCGTTGCACACGAGCACGTGAAGGGACCTGGAAAATAGAGCATTCGACAATCTGTAGACGTCAACCAACGGCCACCCACGTTCCCCAGGGATAGCCGATTCGTCACTGCCTTCAAGATCCCATCAGCGAGAGACAAGATGCCCTACAGGGTCGAATGGCTCCGAGTGGGCAACCGTCCTGGGACACTGGGGAGGACAGGCCCCTGGGATGTAGGACTTTCAGTGTTAAATCCAGACAGTGCTTGGCAAGTTAGGACAAGCTGGTCATCCTGGTTGGAATCCAGGTTCCACCACCTAATTAACTCTGCCCTTCCAAATTCATCCAGTTTGCACATTCCTCAGCTCCTCATCTTAAATCAAAATAGTGCTTCAAACACAGAAAACATCCTATAAAAAAAAAAAATGCTGACACAGGACCCAGCACTTACGAGGAGCTAAAGAAACACATCAAGAGGAAGAAGCTTTGTCCAAGGAAACAGACACACCTGTGTGGACATATTCCTTTTAGAATGTGCTAGAATAACTGCACATTGGATTATACCTACTGTTAAAAACCAGCTCAATTTATGTTTACATATTAACTTGTTCCACAATACAATTCTTGACAATAAAAGTAATAGTGTTATGCAAATCAAATTCCTAAATCCTCATGAACAAATTGTATTCATGAGAAATCATCCAAACATCCAAACAAGAATTGAGAATTATACAATAAAATATAGTGAACATAGCTAGGGTGTTTGTAATTGCAACATAAAAGCAACAAATTGGGGGAAAAAAAAACTAAATATACAATGGAGAAATCATTAAATAAAACAGAATATAGCCTTATGCTTGAATTATATAGTCATTTGAATTATAACAAACTAATCTATTTTGTTTTATAATCCATCATAAAGTCAAGTCTGTGATGTTGTAGAACCACATACACACCTGCACCCAGAAAGAGGGGATGGTGATGAGGGAGGTGCAGGTGAGGGGAGGTGCAGGTGAGGGGAGGTGCAGGTGAGGGGAGGTGCAGGTGAGGGGAAGCACCGGAGGCTGGTGGGCCCACTGAATCGGAAAATGCCTTCTCTCTGAGTTTACCTATACTTTATTCTCTCCATAATTAACATGCAGTGTATTTATAGGAAGGAATAAATGCAATCAAATAAGTATTCAGCAAAATAAAAAGAGCATTTCAGGAATTTAGCCAACACATTTAACATGAGAGGGGAAACACCAATAAACATGGTTGGCTTTCACAGGAGCACTGGATTAAGAGCTGGGAACCTGCATTTTTGACTCCTTTGGGACAAGTCTTCCAGGCACTCCGAGCATCTGATTCTTGTAAAATAAGGAGCTGGAAGTCGAGACACTTAGTTTTCCTCACATATCTCTGATTCCAGGGCAATGGCTGTGGGTAAAATTCCTTTTTGATATAGGAAAAAAATCTTTCCTATATTTTCATTTGAAAAAAAAGGTGTTTTTTCATAGAAACATTTCATAGGTTTATTACTATTTAAACAATTTGGTTGTGTTTCTATTTTCATGAAATGCAACCATCCAAGAGTCATAAGTTTTAAATGTTAAAAAAAATGCTCTTCATATAAGAGAAACAGGGAAACAGAAAATATATGTAAAAGTTAAAATAATACATTATCAAAAAAGTAAAACACAAAATGACAAATGACGTAATACTAAGAATCCACATTTTATATAAAGAGTCCTTAGAAATCAACAAGAAAATACAGTGTAAGAGTCTAACAGATTTACTGAGATATTTTTAAAATTTGTAAAAGTAGACTACAAATGACCAATACAAAGCTTAACATGTTCTATACTACAACCAATATTTTCTACCAAAAAATCAGCAGATTTATTTATTTGTGTTATTATGTTTTTATTATCTTTGTAAAAATTGGTGGGAAAATGTATTCATGCCTCCTGGATTTTAAGTAGAAAATGCATATCATGAGAATTAAAAGGAGTCACATTATTTCATCTGGTGACCCTGCTTCCAACAGAGGAGGACATAGTGGCAGGATGGAGGAAGCAGTATTTTATCATTAATAATGTTTATAATTGCATGTGATGACAATAAAATGTGAATGGCTTTTAGTGAGCTGTGGTGTTTTGAATTCTCTGTCAACACTGCTCCCCATCTTTTATGCCCAAGGGGCAGCCCATTCTCAGAGCTGCCTCCCACACCATGGCATGGCGCAGGGGGTTCTGCAGTGGGAAGAAAGGCCGATTCCATAAGGTATGTCCCCCCCACACCCTGAACATGACCTTATTTGGAAAAAGGTCTTCTCAAATCTAATTTGAATTCCTGGATAGAACCCTGAGTCACAGTACATACTCCATTTTATATATCACTGAATTGACTTTGCTAGTATATTGTTGAAGAATTTTTTGTCTCTATTCAAAAGTGATATGGGTCTAGTTTTCCTTTTCCTGTGATGTCTTTGGTTTAATTTGACATCAGGTAAATGTTGGTTCCACAGTCAGCTGGGAAGTATTCCCTTCTCTTCTATCTTTCTATTCCTTAAATACTTGGCAGAAAGCATAATTTTTAAACAAGGAATTTGATAACAGTGATTTTATAAATTGCTGTTACTTTTTAAAAGAATTCACGAAATCTCATTTTCATTGGGGAATCTGGATCGGGTTTAGAAAGTGTTGATTTCATTCTGTGGCTTGATGTAGTTTCCAAGTTGTCACCTGCCTAAAGCTTACATGGGGTGAGCTGGGTCTGGATGGTAAAATCTATTTTTCACATAAGTGCCCACCGCCATTGTTATCATACCCCCCCACACACACCCGTAATCCATGTATTCCCTGAGGAGGTGGGCGCACAGGCTCTGGGGCCTCTGGTTGGGGCCTTCCCACAATACCCATCAAGGCCCTGTTTCAAATCAAAGCAGAGATTCCTGGTTTGCAGCTGTGGGGAGCCATATTTTGTACTAAGGCAGAACCACTAAGGAAAAACTTGGGAAACATAGTAAACTATATTACATTTGAGCTTCTTTTAGACTGCTTCTCAAATATTTGGTTCCATCCTCTAGAGCTATTTATTTTTTCCTTTTACTTTTCTGAATATAAACCATGGGTTGGACACTTGTCAACAGCTTTGTGTTACATACATTTAATCTTCACAATAATAGGAGGTGACATGAATTATTGTTGCCATTTTACAGGCCGGAAAACAAGATAGTAGAAGAGCAACTTTCATGAGCTCAGAAATGAAGCAAGTATCAGAAATAACTAAGACAAGTAAGCAGATAAATGAATAAAACAAAGCAAAAGGAACCAACTGACTTCAAGGCCACCTGATGACCCTGTTTGTTTTAGAAAACCAAACTGAACCTGTGAGGACCATGCCAAAGGTCCTGCTCAGTTCTGCTGTTGTTCACACCTGCCTCCTGGCTAGCAGTTGACCTCCCTATCCTGTGAAGGGGACCGCAGAGGACCCCTCCCAAGCTCCTGGAGAGCAGGTCCCTCACCAGCTGCCAGGACCTTTCTCTGAATGACATTTCCTGATGTCCACAAGGGAGAATGAAATTCTTCAACACTGATTTCCACAGCACTCACCTGTCCTTACGATGTGCCTGGACATTCAGAATTCTGACAGCACAGCTTTTCATGGCCACCTCTCCCCCGGTGGCGGTTATTCTTGCCCTGCACTGTCCCAGGGAAATGGAAACCACAGCTCTCCACCAGGAGGCAGGACCCCTCAGAGGACCTGGGGAACCCTTTCCTCTCTCACCAGGTTTGAACACCCTTCATTAATGTTAATTGCACAACACCAGAGGCAAAATATGTACCCAGTACCTAAAATGTGTCACCTCTATTAATTAAAAATAGGTTGGTGGAATTGGAGACTATAAAGCACTCAATTTTTTTCTTTTAATTGTAAAGGCAACTAATTGGCTTGTACAAAAGGAAAAGATTCCTTTTGCCTCTCTTTAATGAGGTTTTTATAATTTAAATAGCACATTTTGCTCAGTTTTGACTAAAAGCCACACAATTCAAAAGGGTCTGAGATGATGAATATTTACAGAATATCAAAAGAAAAGTTCAAACTATAAAGACAGAATGGAAACAAAAATAGGACCCCTTCAAGCCCAGAGCCAGGTTATTAGTCAGCACTTTGGGGGGGGGGGGCTTTTTCCTCCTGGGTGGATTCTGACCTGTGAGGACAAAAGGGCCATCCTCCATGTAGAGAAGTGGGGACTCCGCAGGAGGGAAGCCAGCTGTCCTCTGTGGCTCCTCTTTCCCTGGAGAAGGCCCCACTCTCTGCACAGTGGGCCAGGGGCCTGCTGACTTCCTCAAAGGCAGAAGACAACCCCATGGTGACAGTGGGCGGGGCTCTAATTATATTCGGGGAGTAGTTCTGGTAATCCATGGGCGCCTCTCATTAGGAGGACTAGAGGGGAGTGATGAATGGAAGACCCTCTTAACCCGCTCTTGGCTGTTGTTGTTGGTGGTGGTGGTGGTGGTGGTATCGGGGATTGAACTCAGGGGCGCTTATCCCACATCCCCAGCCCTTTTTTATATTTTATCTACAGACAGGGTCTCGCTGAGTTGCCTAAGGACTCTAGGCTGGCTTTGAACTCCTGACCCTCCTGCTCAGCCTCCAGAGCTGCTGGGATTACAGACATGTGCCACCACATGCGACTTAACCCACGCCTACACAGTTTATCCCTAAATTCTCTCCCAACTTCATCCCTCTGCCACCTCAAAGCCCCACCCACTGCTCCTAGCATCTCCAGTATTTCCCTCTCCACTGATTCATATTTTTTTAAAGAGAAAGAGAGAGAGAATACATTTTTAAATATTTATTATTTTAGTTTTCAGCGGACACAACATCTTTGTTTGTGTGTGGTGCTGAGGATCGAACCCGGGCCACACGCATGCCAGGCGAGCGCGCTACCGCTTGAGCCACATCCCCAGCCCCATGATTTATTCTTAATACCCTTCGGCCTCATTAGATCTTCCCGACCATTAAACAGGAGAACACCATGAATGAAAGAAAGGAAGAGGAGA